TTGAGGCGGAGAACAATGGGCGGGGGTCATGTGACGCTCTGCATGAAGTCCCTGAGGGAGCAGGACGGGCCTGTCAGCTGGCCGAGGAGACATATACACCATGACAGCGTAGAGACGGAGGTCGACCTCCTCCGCTACACCTGCCACCGACACGGAGATGCCTTCGTGCCATGTGGAAGTTACCGTGAATACCAGTTTCCAACTTGTAATCCTGTACATGACGCCACAACAACACGCCCTCATCGACAAGTGTCCCAAAACGGCGTACAAGACTGTAAGCTCTGGTTTAGCGACAGGCGTTTCACGGAAGTATTAATAAGTCACTGGACATTAAACACGTGGTAAATATTGTTAAGCGTCATAGCCAGGGCTGGAAATTAACACCCGCCACATTCGGTACGATATCGCCATACAATAGCTTTTTGAGTTATCCAACAACGGATCAGCGTTGTTTTTTGTTGTGTGTCGCACTTAAATTGGTCCCCGCTGTACCTAGGGATCTAAAATCGCGTAACACACGGGTGAGAGGCGTTCATTTCAGGTTTCTTGTGTCTGATTGGCGCAGATATGTGAGGGGGTGGGTGTTAGGGGACTGGAGTCGGGAGCCGTCAAGTTAAAAGTTATTAAATTAACTTGTTACTCAGATTTTGGGGATTTTAAACGTTGATTTATCTTCACTCGTACATTCATATATTTCTTATTTTAGCTTTAAGTTTTGCATTTTGTCCCTGAGTTAAAGTTGTTGTCTGTCCCATCACTGTCAGCTTCGTCATCCCATCGCTCAGCTCTTCACCTCCTGACTCTCCTTCATTTATCCTGCAGAGGTCAGAGGTCGCTGACCGCGCCGGCCGTGTGGACGGTCCTGTGACAGGTGAGAGGTTTTCTGCCCGATGAAGACTGACCTCCTGCTGGCCCCTTGGCCCTCAACAGGGCCCCCTTTTCTTAGTCCCTCGCACCACGAACAAAACCGACAGTCAGACAGGGAGGCCACGGAGAGGCTACATCAGTCAACGAGACGTCCACAGATCATTTACAGATCTCAGCGGCCTCCATGAATCATTTAGACTCAAATAAAAGACACAGTTATGGTTTGTTTTTAGTAGGGATGCACCAAAATAAAAATCTTGGCTGAAGCAGAAACGAAAATAATGAAAAAAATTTCCAAACACCGAACAAGTACATGAGCATTTTCCTCAGTGTTTCCTGCACGCTCACTACTTTACACTGTTCTACAAGCTGCACGTTCACTACTTTACACTGTTATACAAGCTGCACGCTCACTACTTTACACTGTTCTACAAGCTGCACGCTCACTACTTTACACTGTTCTACAAGCTGCACGCTCACTACTTTACACTGTTCTACAAGCTGCACGCTCACTACTTTACACTGTTCTACAAGCTGCACGCTCACTACTTTACACTGTTCTACAAGCTGCACGTTCACTACTTTACACTGTTCTACAAGCTGCACGCTCACTACTTTACACCGTTCTACAAGCTGCACGCTCACTACTTTACACCGTTCTACAAGCTGCACGCTCACTACTTTACACCGTTCTACAAGCTGCACGCTCACTACTTTACACCGTTCTACAAGCTGCACGCTCACTACTTTACACCGTTCTACAAGCTGCACGCTCACTACTTTACACCGTTCTACAAGCTGCACGCTCACTACTTTACACCGTTCTACAAGCTGCACGCTCACTACTTTACACCGTTATACAAGCTGCACGCTCACTACTTTACACCGTTACACAAGCTGCACGCTCACTACTTTACACCGTTACACAAGCTGCACGCTCACTACTTTACACCGTTACACAAGCTGTACGCTCACTACTTTACACCGTTACACAAGCTGTACGCTCACTACTTTACACCGTTACACAAGCTGTACGCTCACTACTTTACACCGTTATACAAGCTGTACGCTCACTACTTTACACCGTTATACAAGCTGTACGCTCACTACTTTACACTGTTCTACAAGCTGCACGCTCACTACTTTACACTGTTCTACAAGCTGCACGCTCACTACTTTACACTGTTATACAAGCTGCACGCTCACTACTTTACACCGTTATACAAGCTGCACGCTCACTACTTTACACCGTTATACAAGCTGCACGCTCACTACTTTACACCGTTATACAAGCTGCACGCTCACTACTTTACACCGTTATACAAGCTGTACGCTCACTACTTTACACCGTTATACAAGCTGCACGCTCACTACTTTACACCGTTATACAAGCTGCACGCTCACTACTTTACACCGTTATACAAGCTGCACGCTCACTACTTTACACCGTTACACAAGCTGCACGCTCACTACTTTACACTGTTATACAAGCTGCACGTTCACTACTTTACACCGTTACACAAGCTGCACGCTCACTACTTTACACTGTTATACAAGCTGCACGCTCACTACTTTACACTGTTATACAAGCTGCACGTTCACTACTTTACACCGTTATACAAGCTGTACGCTCACTACTTTACACCGTTATACAAGCTGCACGCTCACTACTTTACACTGTTATACAAGCTGCACGTTCACTACTTTACACCGTTACACAAGCTGCACGCTCACTACTTTACACTGTTATACAAGCTGCACGCTCACTACTTTACACTGTTATACAAGCTGCACGTTCACTACTTTACACCGTTATACAAGCTGCACGCTCACTACTTTACACCGTTATACAAGCTGCACGCTCACTACTTTACACTGTTATACAAGCTGCACGCTCACTACTTTACACCGTTATACAAGCTGTACGCTCACTACTTTACACCGTTACACAAGCTGCACGTTCACTACTTTACATTTAGCAAAGTGTCATATCTTCAGTGTCGTCACATAAAAAGATATAATCAGATATTTACACAAATGTGAGGGGTGCACTCACTTTTGTGAGATTCTATATATGTGTAGTGTAGAAGAGCCGCATGATTATCATTTTACCCCCATTCAAGTTAGCGGAGGGTTAAACAGGAAGTTAGCCGGCTCAGTCGGGGAAGTCAACACAGAGAACCCCAACGCCAACTAGCGTTTTGGCGAACATAACTGCAGAGCGGCGCAGACACAGACGTCGTGGCCACATGTAGACTAGATGCATAAGTATAATGTGGCCTTTTCACTTCAACCTGTTTAGAGTACAGCAGCGTTCTGAGCTCCTATTGGTCAACGCCACAAACACGTGTGGAATTTGTCATAATTGGCAAAAGAAGGCAAATAATGACTTGCCAAATGTCCATTTTCGTGCCCGCTGACCTGCCTGTCCCGGCTCAGGCTGATATCATGTAGTGTGAACTCGACTCTCAGAGGATTTCACGGATTTCAAGGGTTGTACATTTCATTTTTCCTCCTAACACCTAAATACATCAGTGTGTGTTTGAGGTTTTAAATATTCATGGGAACTCAGAGAAAACTGCTTTGTTCACATCTGAACTGGGAGCTGCTGATTTCAGCTGGAACCATCGTTTGTTCAGATGGAGAGTCTTAAAGAGGTGTGACAGCGGCAGGAGACAAAACTCAGCAAAAACCTTGTTGAAGCGAGCGAATGCCTCCCCGTCTGGAGGAGAAAACCTTCAGCAGCTAATTGAAAAGCCAGAGCTCCCGCAGCCGCCGTCTGCAGGTTTATTACAGCGTGGAGGAAAGAAAAGGAACCGATAACAGACGGCTGATCTGAAGGGTTCCACTGCAGCCTCGTTTTCAGCTTTCATCCAGTGATTCAACTGTAAAACACTACAAAAGTGTCTCCTGGGCATGACTCTGCACTGAAAACCGCAATGAAAGTTTTATTAAACAAAAGAACAGGACGGATGAAAAGACCTGTAACAACAGAAAAACAAGCGACAACAACCACTGAGCTCAGACCAAGTGTTCAACCAGCCAATAAGCTCAAATACCCGTCTAGACTGGAACTAATGCAAACAAATGTTTAAGAAAAAGGATGATGTCGGCCTTTATTAACCTCATAGAGTCATGTTACTATCGACTAAAATGTTCTCCACGACAAACACGTACTAGGGATGCACCGAAATAAAAATTCTTGGCCGAAGCCGAAACCGAATATAATGAAAAAATTTGCCAAATACATCAAGTGCATTCACATTTGTGCCATTTTTTGTACCACTGCATAAATTAAACAGTCCAAATGAGCTTTTTCCTCTGTGTTTCTCACAGGATGTGGAGAGACTATGGTGGGGGGGGGGGGTCCGGGGCCCAAGAGGGTCCGGTAAAGTAAATTACATGAGCCCGTTTACTTTTAATGGACACATGTAACATGTTTTATACTTTCTGTGAATATTAATCCAGTTAATCTTATTTCCATCCTGTACAGACGCCTTATTTTGAAAACCGGATGTTGTCGCATGTGTTTCCTCCTCGTGCTAAATTCATCCAGTCTGACCCAGTTTGATAAATAATGTTGTATGTGGTTCTCGTACGGCAATTTTGAAAAATCAGCACTTAGTGTAACGGCTACGGAGAAATCTCACAGCATGTTTTACGGAGATGAGCCTGAGAAGCAGCACATTTAAACCTGCGTCCTCTCCAGCAGCCAGCAGGGGGCGACTCCAGCAGCTGCAGAAAGAAGTGTGATTGTATAGAAGTCTATGAGAAAATGTTTCTACTTGTCAGCTGATTTATTCCCTCAGTAAACACTTTCCTGATGAGTTTATGGTCTCAGTCTCTAGTTTCAAGTCTTCTTCAACACAGCGTGATGTTCATTTAGTAAATTATGGTCCCGTTTAGAGGAAAACGGAAGCATTACAACATAAAACAATTTAAATGTGGTCACGTTAACGTTCAGCAGCTCTGCAGCGCCGGAGCTGCTGATGTGTATGAGCTGAATTGGCGGAACATAAAAACCACATGTTGGGCATCTCAAACCTGAGCCCTGATCAGGTGAACAGGTGAGCCCGGGCAGACAGACATCAGCCATGTTTCAGAATAAAAGCATCCAGTTCAGGTGCACTTACTGTTCCTGCTGGTTTTGAGTTTGGACAGCAGCTTCTGAGTGGACACCAGGTCCCCGCTCTTCACCGCCTGCAGCAGGTCCTGCTCCTTCCCCATGCTCCTCCTCCTCCTCCTCCTCCTCCTCGTGTTTGAACCAGCTTTCTTAAAAAATACCCCTCCCTCCCTCAGAGCCTCATGCTGAGCGCCGGAGACGTGGACCTGCCTCAGGTGAGACTCTCCACTTCCTCCCTCTGACGCCCAGCTGACAGCACGAGAAACTTTAAAGCGATGCTCTCCTTCCTCTGACCCGCTGAGTCGGAAAACTCCTCCGCTGCTTAACTCTTCTGCTCCGACTTTACTCCTTTTCAGTCTTTATAGGTTATATCCAGGGGGGGTTGGGGGCTGTTGGCGTGGCCGGGGGGGGGAGGACGGGGGAGGTGATGCGGTCAGAACTGAAAAGAAATGAGAAACCCAGATCAGTTCATCAGCGGCGTGTGGATGTGAAATGAAGCTGAAGGTTTCAGTTAAACAGGGAGGGTTTGGCTTCAGATCCAATAATGCGAGAAGGTCTTAAAACACATTCACACTTTCTTTCTAATTTAATGTTGTGTGCGCGAAAAGCCTGTCAAAGGAAACGCACTTTAGCTTCTGTGACATCTCAGATTTTGTGTTTTTCCCCCTGTTATATCACATTAAACTGAATCCCAGAAAGAAGAAGACGTCACCTTGGAATACTTTGTTCTATAAACCAAACGATTACTTGATATTAGGGCTGGGCAATAAAACAATAATTGCGATATAATTTTCCTCAATAACAAAATAACAAATGTTTGATTTAAATCATTTGAGTCACAAACGAATCAGCACTTAATTTTTCTATAAAGATCTTAATTTTATTGAGGAAAAGCACATTTGTTGAAAACAGATTTTATCATTAATAGTTCTGAATGTTCTGCCTCAGATTTGTGAAGTGATCCACTGTTTGGCATCAAGTGTTTGTTCTGACCAGAAAGAAAAGTTTAAAACCACCAATTAACTTTCGCTCAGGAGCCAAAAATCTGCCTATAAACCTGAAAGAAATAATGATTTGACATTTATCCTAATAATTATTGATAATTATGATATGATTTTTTTATCGTGACAACATTTTTTTGCCCTAATCGATAATCAAAAAAATAATTAGTTGCAGCCCTTTGTGAGTCTAATCAGTGTAGGTTCAACCTTATTATATAATACTTCACATTCAGGGAGGTGACGCTGTAACGATGTGCAGCACGTCCATACCGACAAAAACATTTTTAATGCAGCTGGGTTCAAGCAGGCGACCCGGTGGGCTTTAAGAGGTTTCATACATCCAGAGAACTTCTATAAAAAACAGATTGTGACCTGCGTTTATTTGTCAAAACTTGTTCCCAAACCAGGCCAGTAAACAGACATCTAATGCTGCGTTCACACTGAAAGCGAATCCAGCGTTCTGGGCGGCTTGATTACAAAGTCAACGCAAAGATGCGAATTCGCTCCGGGCGGTGCGGGGGAGGCGTTTGTCGCGACATTCGCTGATTTGCTCGAGTTCAAATTTTTCAACTTGAGCGAACTTGAAATTCAGTGGGCGCTCTGTTGCGAAAGCCTGTCAGCGTCAGAGCGTTGTTTGGAGAGGACCAGGCAGAGCGGGGGAGTGAAACGCCGCTGGCCGACGGCGAGCCGCTTAAGTACGGGGAGAGAGAGCCGGAGCAGCGCTGCAGCTTTTGGACAAAGAAACACCCGTAGTCGGTCTGGATTCTGCTCTGACAGCGACGCCGTTTACCCACCGGAGGAGCTCAGAGTAAACTACTTTTATTAAATTAGCTTTTTACTTTAGTTTTTGGGATTACAACGTTGATTTATCTTCACTCGAGCTTCTCAGCAGCTTCTGAGCACATCCGGTTCCACTGCTGTTGTTAGCGTCGGTTGTTAGCACCCAGAGCGCTGCAGGACTACGACCTCATATTTATATATAAAAAACGGACAAAACTGCACATTAGTTGGAGAAAAGAAAGCGAGGTTGACCTACTTCGTGAGTTCAGAAAACGTGTGCGTACTTTACTGTGAGCAAGTTAGCGTAGCATAGCCCTGATCGATCCAAACTCCATTCAGAAAACAAACGGTTTAAAAGTTGTTGTCCTGCTGTCTTGCTGACAGACCTGACAAAGCACAAATTCATATGTTTAACAAATCTGCGTCATATTGTAGTTATTTCGGCATCAGTTTCACCCATTTATTGCAATTAAATCACAGCAAAAATGTTTCTTTTGGGTTCATACAGCTGTAGTAATCGCAGGTTGCGTTTATTTGCTTATCGCGTTGTGCGTGTGAACACTCAGCAGTTGTTCAGCAATAAAAACCGCGCCAGGTAAGCGTTGCGAGGATTTAATTCTCGTTGTATGCGAATAGACCATAACTGGGACTCGGCTTTTAGTTGAGGTTTTAATGTTTATGCTGTCTTAAGCCTATAGTTGCTCTTAGATTGACTGATTAGTTGGATAATTGTTCTGTGAAGAACTTCAGAATATTAATAAATATTCTATATATACACACAGTATATATACGGGTGGACAAAATGGACAAAAATGTTATCACGATAAAAACATTTCATATCACTCGATATCGATAATTATCGCGATAAATTTTATTATCATCATTTCTTTTAAGTTTAAAGGCTGATTTTTGCTCCTGAATATAAATTGAAGGGTCAGACGGTTAATTGTGCGATTAAACTAAACTTTATGGTCAGAACGTGACAAACACTTGATGCCAAACACTGGATCACTTCAAATATCCAAAGCTAGAACGTAAAAAATAATTATGATAAAATATGATTAGTAACTCTCCTTTCAGTAACTTTTCCTCAACAACATAAACATCTTAATAGAAAAATTAAATGCTAATTCATTCGTGATTCTAATGAATTAAATAGTATTTAAGTATTTACTGACGATATATTGAACAGTTGTGATATTGTCAGTAAGTATATGTGTGTATTGTATATATAAACTCAATGTTAAATCTTGAATGCAACTTTGCACATCATACCTTTCAGGTTTGTGAGGAGTTGGGTTAGTTATGGAGAACTGTTACCAAATTTCTGATAACGTTTGGATTCTGCCCATCGGTTCTTAACTTTCTGCATCTTTCAGCTCCTGATTGAACTGCAGTAAACATTTTACAGTCCATAAAAGTGTCGCTCATCTGCCAGGAGCTGCTACACCGACCTAACGTCACCTCATTTGTTAACGTCAACAAAGCCTGAAGAAGAGAGGATTTAATAAGAAGGATCAGAATCGATCAAATTAAAATGATAACCAACCCAAGTGAGAAGGCAAAAAAACTCACAATAAGCGTCTCTGTCTCTAGTCTGGTGTATTTGTTCATCAACACTATCAGAAAGTGAGAAACGATCCTCAAAAAACTGAACAAAACAGAAGAATACTTTAACAGTGTTGAGGAGAAGCCAACAAACAAAACTAATATATACAAAAGGCTGAAAACTGACACAAAACACAGACTATATTAAGGAAAAATGGGAATAGGATTTAAATGTTCTAACTGAAAATACTAAATTATCTGACACGTGGGCTGGGAGTAAATAGCCAATTATGGAAGGAATATGACTTTAAAATGAAGATCAGATATTTTAATACTCTCTTTATTGTTTCCTCATATATGAAAGATCACACTATGGTGGAAAAACAGGGGACACCGCTCACATTTTTTGGGATTGACCAAAAATTTTACACTTTTGGGAGAATGTCAAAAAAAAAAATTATTACATTATTGGGAACCGGAACCGCCAGAACCGGGGTAGTTTTTGCTGGGAGCCATAGCCACAAGTTTATACAATACAAATACAGTATCTCACAAAAGTGAGTGCACCCCTCACATGTCTGTAAATATCTGAATATATCTTTTCATGTGACGACACTGAAGAAATGACTCTTTGCTACAGTGTAAAGTAGTGAGTGTGCAGCTTGTACAACAGTGTAAATCTGCTGTCCCCTCAAAATAACAAATCACACAGCCGTTAATGTCTAAACCGCTGGCAACAAAAGTGAGTACACCCCTCACATTTCTATCTCGGCCGAGTCACGGCAAGACTTCATGACTCTATAATAATCTGCTGATGACTGTTAACAGACAGAAAGATGGTGTAGCCTGAGCCCGGCACTGACGGGACTAAAGGTTCCTACCAGATAGATCAATGTAATAATATACATAGTATCTCACAAAAGTGAGGACACCCCTCACATGTCTGTAAATATCTCAATATATCTTTTCATGTGACGACACTGAAGAAATGACTCTTTGCTATAATATAAAGTAGTGAGTGTTCAGCTTGTATAACAGTGTAAATCTGCTGTCCCCTCAAAATAACACATCACACAGCCGTTAATGTCTAAACCACTGGCAACAAAATTATTCTTTTATTAATGGCAAAGACAAAGATAACGGTCAACTGTAAAGAAGCGAAACCACCAATTATAATTCAATGGGCTCTTCGTCCCAACGCTTCTGATGTGATGCTAAAACGGCCAACAAAGATTTCCGCACACCCGTCACAGGTGAGATTGAGTGTTTAACCTCCTGTGCAACCGAGAGGTCAGTTTAATTACAGCTCACCAGACCTTCAAACACAAACAGCTCACTTGCAGGTTTCCTCTGCTGTGTAAACACCGACAGGACAGAGAAGTCAACCATGTGTGTGACAGCAGGGTTTTAAGCCAAACTCCGTTGAGTTACTTCACATTTCTAAACCAGAGCAGGATGACTGATGGGTGAAACCACCTGACGTCCGTCCCCTGCGTCGGGACTCATGGACTGTCCTGCTCTGCCGCTTCCCTCGGGGGCTCTGTGACAGGATATAAGCTCGCTCCGGTCACGCATCGACTTCATTTCAACCGCAGGACAGCTCCTTAAACTCTTCCAGCCCAGTGGCCAAGCACAACTCTCACAGATAAAGGAGGGAGAAGTTGGCAGAGTTAGTTAGTTAGTCTCTGCTGCTCCAGTTTCTTGCAGATAACTGACATTACTGCTGACAGTCTCTGCAGGAATCACCCCTGCAGCACCAGGCCTCCAGAACAGTGTTGCCATATAAACAGAGAGAGGATCACAGGGTCCAGATACAAACACTGGTCTGCACCGTTTTCATGGTTACAACTTGTTTCATTACATAACCAGGCGGCCGCAGAGGAGCACGGGGCGTAAGCAGAGCTGTCATCCCCATTTACACAGATCATGTCCCCCCTTTTTTCTTCCAGCTCCCTCAGGCGTTTTTGTATTCTCACCGCATTCATGACAAGAGGAACAATGCTCGTAAAAAATTTCACTTTGACACTGCAGGGACTCCAAGTCTCAGAGAGGTGGTCCACTGTGGAACTGAATAAATCATTGCACTGCTCACAAACAAGAATCACTTGACAGTTATTTACTTTAAAGTAAAGTTTGAGTGGTGCATGAAGAAGTATTTCACCATTTTCTCTCTTGTGTGTGTTTATACACTGTTTAACTACCAACCAGACCAATAATTTGAATAGTGCAAAAAAGTTAAATCCTAATCAGCTTAATCATGTGGCCTTATATTTAGTATATAGCCTGCAGACAGGGGGGCAAAGTAAAGGAAAAGGCTGTCACCCATCTGTCGATCCTCTCATGCCAGTCTCCCTTAAACAAGTTACTAATTTTACATTTCCGTGCCCATCAACCACATAAAACACATACACAACTCGTGATTCCAGGTTTTCCCTGGCTTTCAAGGGGCCAGTCTCTAGTTCGGGAATATTTAAAGCACTTAATACGCTGTTAAACCTTTGAAAGTGGAAGTCTTGTATTAAATTACGGGCGTAGTTCAGCAACGTGAGAGTCAATTGTAACTTGAAACTGTTTTGAATTAAAGCGCTCCTTGGTGATGTCTAAGCACGCCGAATTGGAGATGTATTTCTAAAGATATGAAAAAGTCTTGGTTATTTAAATGATAAGATCGTTTTCCAATTAATCCACTCCAGATTAAAGAGATGTGAAGGGAGTTCGGCGGACCGGAGAATCGGGCATTTCGCGGCCGGAGTCCGGCAGGTAAACAGACCGGAGTGCCTTCACCGCCGACCTTTGTACCCAAGCTCGTTAACGCATATGTAAGGACAGTTTTCCCACATTTAAAACAGTAAGAAGAAAAAAATACAAGTTACCTTTTTTCAGTCAAGTATGCCAGAAACTTTTCAACCCCTGATTTTCACCAGACCACGGTGGCAGTTTGTAGGAAAAAAAAAAACTCCGATAAGCTCCTTGTGTTGATATTCCACAAAAGTGTTTTATTCCAGGAGTATTATCTTCCAAACGTGTTATATTCTGGTTGAATCTCCATTAATCGCGTAAATGATGTGTATTTTTAGGACTTTAGTACTTTGTCCGACACTTCGCTGGCGGACGCTGCTCCTGGTTTTCCCTCCTCGCCGTGAATGCCACATTCTCCCCGCTGGAGTCTCCAGAACGTGCCCACGGTGTCAAGTTACACCGAGCATAACACAGAGCTTCCGGCTAGGACCTTCAAAATAAACCCAGACGAAGCGACGCCGACTTACAAAATTAAATTGAATGTAAATTGAAATCACTTGCCTTGTGTTATATTTTTAGGAAGTGCAGTCAATAAACCTACATCTGTGGAAAAAAAAACAACACATAAACAAAACAAAATAGAAAAATATGCAGAGCCAGAATGATTCATGGATTCACAGAAATTTAATTGGCAAATATTAATTGATAATTTAATAATCCAAAAAGTTATTATTCCTTTTTGATTGTGAAATCAATTATGGCAAGCTGCTTAAACAGCTACTAGTACATATTTATTAGTTACAAGTTACTATTCCAGTTTTACTAGTAAGAATTGATTAGATACGAGTACTTCATTTTTATTACTTACTAGCAACTGTTCCATTAGTTTCTAGTAACTATTTTTTTAGTTACTAGTAACTAATTGCAGATTTTGGCCATTGAAATCTATGCAGCTCTGCAGTTCAGATATCACCTTTTCATTAGTTACTAATAACCATTTGATTTGTTACTAGTAACCATTTACATTTTACTAGTTAATGTTATTTAGATGTTTATTTTTTGGTTAGGGAACTAGTAGCTATTCCATTAATTCCTATAATGTTACTGTCAACAAGCCATTTTGCTTGTCATTAATGAGTGAGTAGTGTCAAAAACATAGTTAGTAAGAATAAACATTTTACTAGTATATTTTGAATTAGTTACTAGTATCTAAATAATAGTTACTAGTAACTAATAAACAAGTACAAGTACATTTTGTAAATAGTAACTAGTAAATTTTAAGGAATAAATGTTAGTCAATCTGAATATTTCTCATTATAGACTCTGAGACGTTATTTTGTTTCACTATTATTTAATACTTAACAAATCATTTTTAATCAATTCATCAAGATAATAATCATCAGATTAATTTCAAATAATTGTTAGTTGCAGTTCTTGACGTGATCTTAAACTAGTTTAGCTACTATAATTGTCTTGATTTTGTGACACATTTCTTAACACAAGTTTCACTTTCCAGCACCTGAAATTTTAAACTGAATGTATTTTAAAATACAGAGACTGTAAAAAGCTCTAAATGTCCACGGAGGTCTGACTGGGACAAAACATCTTGTTAAACGAATAAAACGAGAGAAATTAAATGCTGACAGTCGTGCTTTTATTTAGAGGAATCAATAAACCCTTTTCCTGTTTTGTCCCGACTCTCATTGGGTAACTTAATGAAAGATGATCGACCCTCCCACTGCATTTAATCTCCTTTCACAGACAGACATGGTGCATTTTCATATTTAAAAAAAGTCTCTCCATCCACTTCTGAATATTAACATCACCGTCAAGTTTCAAAATAAAATACAGCTTTATTAAAGCTGCATTAAAGCTTCTTTAAAAAAAAGGCCTATTTGGGGCAGAAGAACTATTTTAATCATCTCCTGTGAGACTTTACTACATTTCAGATAAAATATTGTCCCAAAAAATGTTAATGTTTACTTTTCTAAACTGAGATTCTATCCATTATTACATTATTAGTAGTTTTATATAAGCAAAGAACAAAACACTCAAATGATTAAACATTTTTTTTATTTCAAACAGTGAAAGCAAAAACTATTTACTTAACTGTAAATAAATGACATCAGTGCTGAAAACAGACAAAAAGACAAAAAACACACATTATCATAAAAAATAAACAAAATATTAATTTATATAAAAATAAGTGCGGCTGAGAATAAACAGTGAGCGTTTTTCAGATAATAAAAAAATACATTTCAAAATCCCTAAGGGAACGCTTAATCCTTCAGTCTGTCTAAAATCGCTGATTTCACCAGACACTGAACAAGGAAAACCTCTTGAAACTCAAATGGGTTAAAAAGTGGTGACATATTATATATGCAGGAGCGTTGATTCAGTGTCTCGTGCATCTCTAGGCTTTATTACAATCAGAAAACAGCACTGGTTTATTTTTATATGTAAAGCCATGAGAGGTAAACCTCCAGTTTTACCTCTGTGCCCTCTCTGTCTCAGTTCTGCTAGTTACCAGCTACGCTCCTCCAAGTGGTTGCTTTTTAATGACTATGCACCCTCGGCATGGAATAATCTGCAAAATGATCTTAAATTATAATAATAATAATAATAATAATCCTTATTTGTAGAGCACTTTTCAAAAACAAGTTACAAAGTGCTTTAACAAGTGTAAAGAATAATACAAAAAAAAACAAGATAAGAGCATGAAAAATTAATATAAAAATTATAAACGTGTACACCGATTGATAAATTTAAGAGCATCATAAAGAAGGAGACATGTGGTTGTTTGTCTTGAGAGGCCATTGTGTTTGAATAGATGTGTTTTTTGTTTTGCTTTTTTGGGGGATTTTCATGATTTTGTGTTTGTTTTAATTTTATTAATATATTTAAATTTTAACTTGCTTGTTATATTTCTCTCCGTCTCTTCTTTGTCTTGATTGGTGAAACCCAGAGTACCTGTATCAGTCTCTAGCATGCTTTTTGTGTCCTTGATTTCTTATTATGTTTGTCGTATGTTTTTCATAGTTGGGTGTCAAAATGGATCTCATTCCTCGTCCAAATCAAATCTACCTACGGGTACAAATGAACCCTTTAAGCACCATTGGTCAGCGCTTAAAGTAGATCTAGTATAAATAACAGAAAAGTCAGAGTAAGGAGGTGGTTGGTGTTTGTTTCCCGTGTGAAAAAGTCAATATTGATTCCTTTCAGTGATGTCAGTTACAGAACTTACGTTACTTAACTAACATAATTTAAGTCACATAAGTAATATTGTTATCTATATATTACCCAAACCAGGATCTTATCCTAAACTGAACCACACTGCGACGCTGTGCACCGTTAACCACTAGTTTTAATGTGAAAGTCTAAGCGGACGTTGCTTCTTTATTCTTGCTAAAGCCCTGGATATACCTGCTTTTTAACAATGCGTAGGCGTAGACAGGCGTAGACAGGCGTAGACAGGCGTCGCCGACGAAAACGGCGTAGTTCACGTACTTGCCTGCGTACTTTGCGTGTACCTGGAGGATTACACCTGAATCCACTAGGGGGCAGAACAGAGCCGGGTCATCCCTCGTCGACGCCGGATTATCTTCCTCCGACAACCTCAGAATTTGCACATCGTAAACAAACCAATCACGGCGACACTCGAGCAGGTTGTGATTTTAACGAGACATCGTAACGATCTCGCTAACTGCGGACTAGCTCCAGGAGTTTTATTGTAAACCTCCCGCCATAAATCTCCTTTTTTTAAAGTCTGCGTTTGTCAGAGGCGTGCGACCTCTGACAAACTTAGCAATTGTAAGTCGCTTTGGATAAAAGCGTCAGCTATATGAATACATGTAATAATGCCTGTGCGAACTGGTTGTGGAGTCGGGGGATAGCGGGCAACGGAACGAGCTCTGATCACGTTAAACTGGCCTCCGACAGGAAATACAGTACGGAGGTGATCTACAGTGGCGTCCTGTCGTTTTCATAGCACCTGTCCCGCTCCCAGAGCTTCGCCTCACGTTTTTAAATTGATATGAAAACTGTAAGATGAGCCTGACAGCTGCCGAGTTTAAAAAACACTTGATCGCATGAACGTGTTGCTGAAGAAGTGGGAGTGTAGAACTTGTCAGCGCTCTCCGGTGGACTAACTCTGTCGTGGAGACGATACTTTAGGGCCTGTCATAGGGCCCCATTCTAAAGAAGTATAAACTGCTTAGCTGGAAAAAACACATAATGCAAAATGTTTGCTGAGTTTATAAGATCATGCACAGTTTAGCTCCTCCTCCTCCGTCTGGCCTTATCAACTTCAAATCAACCACAAACAGAGTTAGCAGAGGTGCAGCCGGGTCGCCATAATGTCCAATTTAGTGGACAGATGATTAATCGTAATTTCCACAACAACATAAAATCAATACTTGGAAAGTTTAACTATTGTATTACTCCTTATTTGTTACCAAATTTTATTTACCTGCAGGGGTCTCCTATAATTGAAGGAATGGCAAGATTTACCTGAGCTGCTCGAATTTAAGTTTCACTTACAACGGCTTACCAGAGGGTGGCAGCGTATGGCACGACACACTAGCGTCTACTGTAGCGACAACTGTGCGTCACAGGGATAAGAGTAATGTTAAGGAAACCAGCTCTGTCAACGCTGACGCTGGCCAACAATAACTGTTTCATCTATTTTTAGATTTTATCTGCTCATCTTGTTTACTTGATTGATTGTGATTTTTTAAACACGATGTGATTTTTAGCTTTTGTCTATTGTATTTTACCAGTTAATGACTATTTTAGGATGCCAAATCACATCTGGCGAGGGGAGTGCCGATGGGGAGTGCCGATGGGGCCTGTGGCTATTTGTTTTGAATGTTGATCCGTGTCCCATTTCAAATAAACAATAAAATGAAAATGAAAAAGAAATGAAACTGTCTCTGCTGACACTTACTGTTCCTCGTGGTGTCTCTTGACTCTCTTGTGTGTTTTTGTTTTACAGGGAGTCCAAAACCCTTCGGCGTCGCCAGGTCATTTTTCCCGGGCTTTAGCCCCGGATGTTTTGACTGTAGCCCCGAATAAAACTCAGCAAGAAAAAAAATTTTCCATGTAAATATGCAATAGTCTTCATGACGCAGCCGGTCTCGCAGGTCTTCAAAGAGCGGAGGCTACTATTGCTATAGCGTGACCCCCCCACTGTTATTCAGCCTGCTTCAGGGCTTTTCCGCGACTTCTGAATTGTCCCTGGCAAAATTGTAATCAATACATTTAAATATAAATGTTTTCGGTCAGTTTCTAGTCAGTGCATAGCTACACAAACGGTTAACAGTCGCTGCAAAGTAGTGACAGAATATCATGACACACTGTCCTCTGTGTCCTGCTGTCCCCCTCGCTCAGAGACACTTTGCTCTGATTGACCGTCCAAATTATTTA